CAGTGGCAACAGTGGCTGGGCAGGCAGGTTAACCGTTCCCTGCCTGCTCCTTTGGGATAGACAGTGCAATCAGCCACAAATAAGGGAAGGAGAGGGGGGTGGGGACTCAAGGAGCAGGTGGACACTTACCTTTCAACTCTCCAGACTCCTGTTGGCCTGAATGTGTGACTGCTCCAAAAATGCAACCTAGCACTAACACCGATCAACATTTGAGCAGCTCATAGTGTAAATGTGTAACGAGGCCCCTAATATGCGAACAAAGCCAGGAGGGAGGCAGCAAGCAACACTGCAGAAAAGCTGTTCAGGGGCACAGGGACAGTAAATGTACCAAAGGAACACTAACATGACACTTGCCCCGCTGCACAATTGCAGCCACTGTTCCAGCTCTGTGGGCTTAGGTGCAATCACTTGGCATGCTGGATCCCATTCGCAGACCATAGATTGCTGACCTCTGATTTAAAACACACCATCACTGGAGCCTGTTACTGGCATCAGGTCAGCATGACTTAGAGGAAAAGTCACTATTTTCAGAAAGAGGAGAAAAAATTACCTTGACCTGATTCATTTTGTATAAATGGTCTGTGTATGAAAAGTTTGTAGTGGTCTTTACATAGATGAATGAACGGACAGGTCACAAGTAAAACGATTAAGGGTATGTAACAAATGCATGTATATGGTTAATAACACTATGTAGATATGTAGTTTACAATCAGAATTCATCATCTGTTGTCTCTACTATTGTGTATATGTACACCCCCACATGGCACCTCCTGTCTGTCTATGCATATTTAATAACCAGAGATATTTGTACCCCTCTACGAATCTACATAATGCTCTCTTGTGGGGGTGGAAGTACCAAAGTTGAAATTCCAAGATACCAAGAATACTCTACAGCTACATAAAGTGTATACAAATGTATTTTCACTCTGAATTCAGATAGACACCAACTTCTATCCCCACCCTCTCCCCCACATATAATTTACTTAAACGCAGAGATGGGCACAAATTCCATCCTCAAAGTGTGCTGTTTTCCTTAGAGCTCCCAGTAGTCAAGCACTCTCCCAAGGACATGATTTAAACCCTTAACCATACCTTCAGCACAATCCCCAAGAGAAACACAAGAAAATCATTTGTTATTATGGGTATCAGTGAATAGTAGACGTAATGGTGACAAAATGAGTATAAATAAGCAATTTATAGAGGTGTTTCTTTCCTGAAACTCTTCCATTTTCTATGCATAGCACAGTTAAGAAGGATCCCTGGTAAAAACTCTCCCTCACTATAATGGCATCAGCGCAGCTTGTAAGTTCTTTAATAGTTAATGTTCCAGTTTATTCTCTACAAGGAGTGGTAAGTGACATTAATATTTAGAGATGAATCTATCTGAGTTTTCCCTCAGCACACCTATATCGAAACTGTAGGTTAGTATCAGCAAATTATAGTAAACAATTAGTTCATATTAGTAAATACACAGGAAAAGCTACAGACAAATCCTATACAGTTCATTTTCAATTTTTTTTTCTGTTTACTAGAAACAACATATGAAAAATATTTTATGCAAGGCACATGTTCTCATTATTATTTTGTACGCCCCTAAAAATTATGGATTTTTTGTAGCCACTAAATAAAACACTATATTGAAATATTCCTTGAAACAGTTCTTTAAAGTTAAATTAAGGGGACAGAATGCTTTAAATCCTTAATTTGCTGATATTCACTAGATTTGCAGATAATAAGCAAACCTAACCAAGCAAGACTTTTATAATGTTAAGAAGGGTAAAATCTATCCCAAAATGTTACATGTACAACTTTTCATTTAGCAGAAAAATCATTTTAAAAAAAGGCACATATACCAACAGATGCCAAAAAGGAGGGAATTTTAATAATTTATATTTCCAACATGAATGTTTGTAAAGGATAGAGGAACAATCACTTACAGGCTTTTGTTGATTTAAGAAAAAACAGGGTATTTTATAAAAGGAAAAGATGTAACCAGGTAATTTACAGTACTTTAATAATGCTAAAAACAGTTAAAACTGAAACACGACATACTGATTTCAGTCCCTTACTGCCATAACGTATTCCTTTTTTTTTTGCTATTCTCCCTTACACATCTCATGAAGCATTTATATTTTATACAGGGGTTTTGCTAAAGATAAGGACTGTCTCTCTAGATGTTTAGGAATGCCATAACGATTCTTCCTCAATACAAAGGCATTAACAAAAAAAAAATTACATAGAAAAAAATTCTATGTTTTTCTGACACAAGGTTAAGTGGAGTTATTCCCATGGACTATATACTTTGTGTCTATGTAAGTACAATAATATAATAAAATATTCACTTATACAACAAATTTTATGGAGAATGTGTGTGGTTTGTCAACAGAAGGTACACAATCTGTAAACCTTTCAATGTTTTAGCTCCATCCTCAGCAGCTAATGAGTTAGGGCTGATATATACCATTAACAAAGGAAAGAGGATTTTTCCTTTGTTCCCTAAAAGGATGCAGAAACAAGATTTCTAGTAGTGTATTTCTTAAAAATCAATATGCTTTTCATATAGACATTTATACTTTTAGCAATTTTTCTCTCTTTAAATTTGTTTCTATTAAATTGAAAATGGAAGTATACATGTATTACTAACTTTATTGTTTTTTATCATTTCCAGTACCTTTATACATCATTCATATTTTACAATACATAAACAAATAATTATGTACACCTATTTCATAAGCCTCATCATACCACAAAAAATACTCCTCATATGAGGACAGTATACAAGGCAGATTTTTTCCAAACAATTAGGTTAGAACTGAAATATTAAATAAAAAATAAAAAATATTTAAATGACATATCTTTAGTTTTCATATCTATCTTATCTGGATATAATATTTGCCATTAATAATTCAAACAAGGTTCAGATAAACCACTTTCCTCACACCAGATAAAACAAAGACTTGATTTCTTCTTTTAATGTATATTTGGTAATCAATAATTGACAAGCCAATTCTACCCCAGTTACTCATACTGATTATCCAAAGATAATCCTATTGGAATGAATAGGACAGAACCAGGAGGTAAGATATCGCTCCACCTGGCAAAGGCTGTAGAATCAGGCCCTGAGTATTTCCATTAAAAGATCTGGCAACATGGATATTACATGAATATATATAATTTTAAGAATATTTGAGATTTTGAAACTTGCAAAATACTGATTTTTATCATCTAACTAAAGCAAGATAATTTTATCTTTCTTTTGAATCTGGCACCTAATCATGTTATTGATCTCTCCCACAATGACTGGGACAAATGTTCTATATTTATTTTCCTCCTAGCAGTGTTATTCCCCAAATATGTTACCTTTATTTTAGTAAATGTAATTTTATAAATGACTCAATGCAATTAGTTTTTTTTCAGCAAAAAAGCTCTTTATTAACTCTGGTTAAATCAATGTTGAAATTTAGCTAGAAATAAAAAGTTAATTTGAATGTATCTTTTTTTAAGTGCATATTTTATTGTTTAATCTATTCATCTGTCATTGGTTTTTAGTACATTCTAGCATGTTAGATTTCAGCAGTGTTCTTCAATTGTAGCAGAAAGAGATAAGGAAAATAACAATCAATATATTAAAAAAAACTAAACTGAAAAACAAAACATGCAACTAATCTGGAAATGTATTTTTTTTAAAAGCAAAGCAAAACAAACTATATGTTTGTTTCTACCTACCCAAAGATGCAGATTTTTAATACAAGTTAGGTTTTTTCCTTACTGATTTACATTCAAAATTATTGGGATTTAAAGACTATGAGAACATTAAGGTGGTAGGCATATATACTGTACAATGAGGTTTTTTTATACAGAAGAAATTGAATTATTAACATTTATTTGGTCTTCCACTATGATGGTACAGTAGTATTTTTAGGGGGGAGCCGGCTTGGATTGGCAGGGACAGGCAAGCTAATACACAGTAGCTAAATGCGTGGGACAGAGGGAGGACTTCACACATTTACTCAGTATCCAACACAATTTTTACTTTGAATTCAATTCAACTTTTTTCAACATTAGAAATTTAAGGGCAAAAAACTTATTTCAAAGATGGTTTTATGTGATTATAGAATTGGATTTCACCTCACTATAAAAAATTCTAATCAAGTTCCCCACCATTTCCGAAAACCTTATTTATCTTGTATTTCCCTGAAAATGTACGTGTAGTTGGCTTTAAGAAGGGGAGAAAATAAATCAATACTGTTGGAAATGTAGCAGAAATAATGCCTCCCTATAAAATGAAGTATCCTTTGTAACAAAAGACTAACATTTATTTGCATATATAATAACAGGGGATGCTATCTTATATGATCGTTTCAGAGAAGTTGCTATTACTCCACACATTTCTGAACTTTCAACAATAACATTTGGTTAATATCAGAAACTGAAAAGAAGATAAAGATATTAACAGGATTTGTTTTAGGTCTGTGACAGTCTAGCCAAAAGTGCATACCTGTGTATTATAAATGCATACAGGCTATACTGCAATCTAACTGCACACGAGTAACAGACATTTATGTTGGATTTTTGTCTAAAGTCCGTCTGAAACCTGGGAGATCGTATATATGAATCTCACATTTCTATGTGTGACAAAATAAAAAAAAGTTCATTGTTCACTGATGCTCTATAATTGTGTGAAATGCAAATTATATGGAAGAATTTAATATTTTTTTTTACATTTTCTGTTCTCAAGCCTACCATTTGAAACTCAGACATGAACCACTGTAGAAATACTGTAATTTTCTCTATGAAGTTCTGTATTCAGAACATCCACCAAGAACATACTCAATTAAAACTGAAAAGCATAATCTTAAAAAAGGGAATATGGCAATTACATTTTCAGCCACCAAGCAGACCTGATGTCAAATGATATAGTACATGCTCCTTTGCTAGCTGAATTATTTCCTCTCCAAAGCAAAGAAAATTAGTGACTCTATGAGAAGGAAGAAACACTTACCTTTTTTCTCAACAACAACAAAAGAAACCAGCTCCACCATCTCACCAGCAAATGCATCTGAGAAGAAAATGCTTAAGAGTAAGACAAGTAGTAAGCAGCACTGAGGCACTAATGATTATACCAGTGCCCTTTTTCAGGCACCAGGCATGACAATGCCTGTACACCCCCCTCCACATCACAGCAGGCTACTGTAGCCAAGAGACAGAGGTGCTTAAATTAGAAAACCGCTGCCAGAGGAAATAAACGGGAACCACAGCGACCCCCTCGACCCCAGCAGCTATCAGATCCGGGAAGATATAGTGCACATCTGTTTTACGAGGCCCCCAGGGAGCTCCAACTCCAGCTACTTACCCTGTCTGCATTATTAATAGATGTTAATGGCTCCATTATATTGAAAAGAAGCCTCTTCCTTTTTATAATATGGAAATTCCTGGTCAAAAATCATGAGGCAGCAATCGGCTTCTTGGTCTTTCTAACGGCAGAATGCGCCCCCATCTCCCCTTCCCCATCATCCTCAATATACTGATTTGGTAGCCAAAAATCGATTCAAGGCAGCAAACAACTGCAATAAAGCAAACGGGCAGACAAAGACTTCCTGCCATAAGGCGGTTCCCGAATATATGATTTTCTTTTTAATGAGGTTCTGAAAAAAATTTCAGCTAGAGCATTTTTCTATACAAATGATGCACAATAAAGAACAGAATTAACCCCTGATGTGCATACATTACTTAAATGCTTAACTAAGTCTGTTTATTTCTACAGCAGAACTTATCCTGATCTCAACACTAAAAGTATTTAGATTAACTCAGTGACAACATATCCCACATCAGGACTTTGATTTAGCTGATGAATAAAAGAATGTGATCCTAAAGTATCCCTAGGCTGTGTTTTTGTTAATGTAAGGATTTCCTAAGGGTCTATTCACCCTCGAGGTAGGTGTAGTGCAATCATGCACCAAAGTGTCAAAAGACCCACCACAAAAGATATTGACCTATTTTTATCTGATCCATGTATGAATGCTATGGAGCTACCACTGGGAATAAAATGAACTAAAGGCTTTTTTTTTTAACCCTTTGATAGCAACACATGTAGGAGGAATGGTGAACATCAATAACATACATATTCTGAAAGGTTTTGCATCAGCGTAGTTTGCTTTCTTTACCATTCGTATGAGAGCGACTTACATTTATATAAAATTTTTCTTCTTGCAATAAGACAGGCATACATATATACACACACATATACATACATATATACACACACGTATATTTATTTAACTCCATGTTGACATCCATATAACTCATTATTAAATTATTAATCAAATTTACCTTCATACCTTAACAAGCCAGACAGTAAACTTAAGCATTTCAGCTTTTGCTATGCTCAAAAGAGACCAAATATTTATTTTTACCCAACTTAAAACACCAGGAGCTCCCACAAACTAAGGAAGTGGTATTTTTAAAGGTAACAATACACCAGAATGAACTGCATTATGAATTTTTGTGTGTATATGGGTGGGGAGGAGGATGTATCAAGAGTCACCTTCTTATGTTGCAGATGCATGCTGCAGCTGTTTGCTTGCTTTCGATAAATGAATGAAAAGTGTCATTAATTCTTTCAAGACAAATGTAACCGATTGGCTTTGTTACTGCTTGCCTCTGCAGCTTTTGAGACCGTGCAAGCATGCCGCAGAAACAAAATCACAGGGTCTGGTTATATTAACTGAATTACAGACAGCACTGATGTGATAGTCTTCATCTCTCCCTCTCTAATTATTTATCCAGATCAAGCCTGACTGCTGGAAAATTAGCTCTCTACGGGAGGTAACCGAGCTGAAAGGTTCTTTTTACTGAGAAATGATGGGCTGGTCACTAGTAGTGCACAGGCCAGCATACAGTTATGGGGAATGTCATGATATACATTTGAAATAGATTTTCCCTCCTTAACAGAAAAGAAATGGCCTGTTTTAGAAAATAAGATAGGAAAATGTAGATGGACAAAATAAAAATTCATAAACCTTAAAACCTTTATACCTAAAATGAATTTACATTGTTCTGCTCATTTTCTGCATCACTTGCTTGCGTATTTGTTCAAACTTGCTGTACACAAGCAACGCAGAAGATTCTTCCTTTCCATTTATACTTATTAATTTTTTTCCTAAAAATTAATGTCTTGCCACAATGTTCTATTCACAATGCTTTTTCTTTTAAAACAGGAATGGACTAACGTGTTGACCTCTTAACCAAAAGCTCTGGACAGACATGGAGGGGGAAAAAAATGATGGAAAAAACCATAATAAAGAATTACATTAGTTATAATGTCTATTTCTTTAGCCTTTCAAAATTTGAAAATTAGCTTGAATATATTTTAATTTTTTTCTTTCTGATTAAAGAATAAAAATAAATGTGTTAATGGCACCTTTTTAAAAGTGCAATCTTCAAACTTATTTTATTTTTAACTGCTTCAGGAGGAGTGCCATGTCTAACAAGCCGTTCTTGTAAGCTTTACTTACAAGAAAAAGCCACGCACTTTGGTCCAATGCTCTCATATACAACCATGGAAATTGCAGTACGACTGAGTTTAGCTTGAATGTATCAGTAGGCCATTAAAAGAGAGAGAAAAATTGTATCAAAACAATATAATTAGAATGCAAAATAAAAATGCTGGGTTCAATAGGGTATGTTTTGAGACTTAACCTTGTTTTAACAATCAGAATAAAAATGGCGATTACAGTATATTGATTTCAGGATGACTCTGCTCACTGTATTTGCAGCGGTTCCGTCATATTAGTCTTTCTAGATCTTTAAATGCATTTGATATTATGTATGCCAGGAATGGAGTGAAAATAGTTGCCGACCCACCTGACTGCAGAACAAAGAGCATTTTTTCTTTCAGCATTTGTTACTGATGCCTGAGCCACGCCCTTCAGTCCTTACAAAGCATTAGATCTCTTATCTTTTTCTGGCCCTAAGCGCAAGCTTTTTTACAGCACTGGCATAAGCTTAAACATTTTCATTTTATGAAGATATTAAATGAGGATTTGTTTTTTAAGAGACAGAATCTGAGTTTTGTATCATTATCTTTCCTGCAATATCTGGGGTTTCTAAACATGTACTCTAGTCCTCAGCTCAGAAGCTGTTGAATCTTATGTATAAATTGTCCTAAATGCCCTACAAAAAAGCCTGTGTGGGAGGGGAAAGAAAGTAGCATAACTGCCATACAACCCCCCCCCCCCCCCCAAAACCAAAACCCCCCAAAAAAAACCACAAC